TCTCACACACACACTCTCTCTCTCTCTCACACACAAACACACACACACACACACACACAAACACACTCTCTCTCTCGCGCGCACACACACACACACACTCTCTCACACTCGCACACAAACACAATCACACACTCTCACACACACACACACACACACACACACAAACACACACTCTCTCTCTCTCTAAGGCAGGGTGATGATATTTCATTGGCCACATCTTTATATACCGGATGTTTTAATCACCCTCTGTGCCAAGGAGATGCCTGCGGTTCCTCCGCAGCTCTTATTTCACGAGGAGCCATGTCTGGCCAATTCTGCTTGATTGTCCCTATTTGTGGAGAGTAGTAAAATATATATTGAACAATGGTAGCATTTAGCTGGAATGTTTTGACTAGCCCAGCTAAGGTTTTGAATAGGGTAATTTGTGTGGGGTCCTGTTCAGTTCTCACCCCTCTGGATACGGTTCAGTATGTCTGTCTGTCTGATAGACAAACTGCACCCATTCTACATCAGAGGAGCAGGCCGTGTTATTCACTGTAGGCCTCGGGGGTCACAAATGGCATCCAGGTGTCTTCCTTCTAGTTCAGTTAGGAGACAAGAGTGCGTCCATCTCTGTTATGATTAATAACTAATTAATACCTGTGCCAATCTGAGACAGGGGGCGAAGTGGTAGCAGACAGCCTAATTCATTATTCAGGATCCACCCAGACTAGGGCTGAACGATTAATTGCATTTGCGATAATATCGCGATATGAAATAACGTGATTTTTCAATCGCAGAGGCTGCGATTACACGGTCACGTGACACGCGAGAGTGAAGAAGTGTGTTCCAGATCAGATCGGTGTATGACATCAAAGTACGGCGAGAGAAAGCATAAGGAGACGTCCGCACGCTCTTATAGCTCTCGCAGTACTTTGATGACACACACCCATCGGTCTAAGCAGCGCTGCTTCAAGTCGAGCGCGGGCCATCAGCAGAAAAAGAAAAGAAATAAAACGGTAAACAGCCAAAGGACGTAACTTAGAATGGGAGATGGATCGGTTTGTGAAAGGGAAGAGAAAAGCCATAGATGAAGTCGCACAGACCCAGGCAG